CTCAGTATTAAGATGATACTGGTTGATATTTTCAGTCTTCAATGGGTAATTGATGTGTCTTGCATATGCTGCCCTAACTGGCTGACCACTCCGCTGTGTCTACGATCCTCAACTCTTCTCCTGCGCTTCTCTGTGCATCCTCAAAAGAGTATAAACCGCACATCTTGAAACCCTGTCTGCTTTGAAGTCTTTACCTGAGAGACTTTGTTGATCCAGTATAACTACCATGTGTCTTTTGGCTTTTCTCTTGGCTTTCATCCAATTGTAAGCCTCCTACACAGCTGTTTCTGTTTAAGTAAATTTCAACATTATACATTCCTGCAAATTGCTGCTGGTTTGATATATACATATACATATATATATATACATACACATACATATATATATACACACACACACACAATGTATCACCTTTAACTGGTAAATAAATACCCAATTTTTTGGTTCTACTTTGCTCCTTGCAGTCTTGAGCAATAAATGAAATGTCTCAGCACTCTCCTGACGTGTTTGATCCAAACTTGGTTGATTTATTTCAGCATCGAATTCTAATTCACAAATTCACTACTCGTGTCATCGTCGTCCAGCAGAGAGCGACAAAACTTTAACTAGGCCAAAGTTATGCCTTTAGTTAGATTTGGTGAAGACAGACTGCTAAAAATTACAGAGTTTCTCGTGGGTTATTTTACCTGGGCGACCATGTGAAAGCTGAGCTTTTAGCTTCTGCTGCTGAGAGAACAGGAGAAACCAACAGCGCAGGGCTGCGATAGCCCGGAATCTACCACTGTCACTGTGAGGGGGTGTTCGACTAATATTTTATAGCATTACACAACATTATTTCACTAATGAAAACTATGTCTGAAGAACTTCATGAGTTAAAGCTCAAACTGTCTTGTGTAACACGACCGGACGAATACTTTGTAAATAAACGGATTTTGGAAATGGACGCTACCACTATCACTCCATTGGATTTACTACTTAAAGTGATAGTTGAAATCATTGCTTCGTTTGTTTGTGTTTTAGAGCTGCGCACTTTCGGAAGGCATGCTGGATAAACTTGAACTTGACGATGAAGGTAATAGCATTTGTTCGTTTTTTGTTTATAAGTTCAGAATTGACTATCAAATTGAAATGGTCTCAGATTTAATGCCTATGTGGAATATTTATAATGCTTGCTTGCTTAAACGTGATGTTAGTCTAAAGGCTGATTTATGCGTAACGTGCAACAACTCAAAGTAATTTAATTAAATGTATTAAGATTGAATGGTTTAGCCTGCGTATTTTCCTCATGAATTCTTCCCTGTTTGCAGCTGTTGAAGAGCCAGACAGTGATATTTATATGCGCTTTATGAAATCCCACAAGTGCTATGATCTCATCCCTACCAGCTCCAAACTTGTGGTGTTTGACACAGCTCTGCAGGTACATCTTCACCCATGTCATCCTATTAAATAACAAAGAGAATCTTCAGAAAGTACTGTGTGTTTATGTTCTACAACATTCAACAATATCTTACTTTTACTGTTTAATAAGTATTGTTGCTTGTCAAATAATGATAGCTTGTGTGGAAAAAGTAGTGTATTTTAAATACGAAATTGTCACTCTTTGAAATGCATACATATTGTATTCATATGTGCAAGTTCCACATGACGTATAAAGTTTCGGCATCACTTTTCTGCATTATCGTCTTTCAGTTTTGCTTTACAGATTGTATAATAAGATGATGTCCAAGTCTCTGTAGTTAATGTTTCATCTTTAAATAAACATTTGTTGGTGATTGATCTGGACAGAGCCTCTTTGAAGTGAATGTAGAGCGTCATAAAGCTTAGTTAAACAGTAATTCTGTGCAGGTATGTGCCTATATTAGTTATGTGGCCAATGCATTTTCATTACTGATTGACCTTTTCATTTGCTAATTTCAGTTTTTAAAATGTAGTCATCAGTGGATTTCTGTGCTGGGAATCAAAGCTTTTACTTGCATTTGAAATATCTAGAAAAGTCTGTTGACCTATAATAGGTTTACTTCACTTTAGAATGAATATTAAAATGTGATAGTTGGTGTTCACGTGGAGATGGTTCGTGATGTATGGAAGTTATGAAAATGTACCAGAAATTCATTTATTGAAATTCAAAGTTGAAATACTTTATATATAGAGTATTTAGCCAATACTAAAATTTAGACCAATCTAATCAGTTCTGGCCAAAGTTCCCCATGAAACCCATGATGTTGGCATTGCCCTACTGGCTAAGCCACCAACAAATAACATCACTATATGCTTTAGCAAGTGCAAAAATCTTTCATAAAGTTTTTATTTTTAACCATTGAAGAAATGCATACCACATGGTATCTTTACCGATAGCAAACATGAAATTATATGCTGGATGTAGAGAATTCTTTATTTGATTTGAGAGAAGATGCCAATTTATCAACATTGGCATTTTTCCCCTGTGGATTGGGTCTCATAAAAAACCCACAATATTTTGTCATATGTTCTCTTTTAGGTGAAAAAAGCTTTCTTTGCCTTGGTTGCTAATGGAGTTCGAGCTGCGCCCTTATGGGAAACCAAAAAACAAAGTTTTGTAGGTAAGCAAATACAATGCGCTCTCGTCGGAATTCCTTTGTTACGCTTCTAGTTCAGCCATCATCAACTTGTTAAGTATTCAAGTAAATTCATTGCTCCAGGTTAACATCTGTTCACCTGTAACTTCATTGGACATGCATGGATTATCTATACTGTATGTGGATAATATGCGTTTTAAAGAATAAGCCTGAATTCTTTTGAATTGTGTTTAGAAATGTCATTATCAGGCTGTTTCACAATACTGCTAACATATTTAAAACAATTCATGCAATCAGATGTTTCACTAACTTATATGGTCAAAGTCTAGCAGCTACACAGCTTACAGCAATTTTTACAAAAAATCACAGCAAAGATTTTGACTTCCTGTTTTGGTTGAAAAAGAGAATTCAAAATAAAATTTGCAAGTATTTTCTAATCTGGCTGTTTTCCCCATTGCAGCCAATGCAGGTTAAAAAATATTTCCGATTCAGTCTGATCTTCAATGTCTTCAAAAGTTTGATCATACATCATAAAATCTAAAGAGAACACTTCATATAAAGTTATGCAACTACCATCTACGAAAAGCATTAAAAGCATAGTAAACAGCCTTTCATTTTATAGTAAAGCCTTTATGTATGCAAACATGTTCGGCCTCACAGCAGTCAAATATTCATGCAAAACTAGTCATACATGCATGAGTACAGACGTGTAAATTTATGTGACCTGCATCTCAAAAAATGGTAGCTGACATTTTTTTGTCGAATATACACAAGGTAAAACAGCATAAACCCCATTATAAACCAAATCATAAACTTTGAGCAAATCACATTTTATTACCATTACCCACCATGCCTTGCACGCTCACATCAGAGTCCAAGATGTAAAAAAATGAACAGAAAGAGCTTTAAAACTTAAACAAAGTCTAAGAGCACTTGGAGGATTATAAACAATTTATTTTGTCAACTTTTAGTCGCATGTTTGTGGACTACTATTGGCCAACCCTCAGGACGTAACTGAAGGACTCGATTGTAAAAAAAAAAAAAAAAAAAAAAGATTGTAATTTGTCCAAAATTGCTATTAAAACTATTAAATACGAGCTATACAATGGCAGACATTGTTAAGCCTGTACAATGATGTATTAATGTGTTTTAAAATATTAACCCTTTATTAAACATCCCTAAAACAGTAATAATTTAAAGTGCATTTTTATGAAAATCATGTTTAGAATGAGAATTTACTTGAGACATGCTCTTTAAAAAAAATGGAAGGCTGTCTCCTGTACTCAAAGAGTAGATCTCTGTTTTTAGAAAAAGAAGGATAAAGAAATAAACGTTTCATTCTTGATGTATAACAATTTAGTAATAAAATGATGTTTAAATGTCCCTGATGCCTGGAATACAATGAGTCCATCGATATCTATGCTAGCTTGAGCTTCACAGCCTATAGTAAACCTCCACACTTAGCTTCATGAGTGCAACAAATGCCACCATAACAACAAGTTTTATTCTGCTTTGGACTCTCGATCGCCAATAAGTACTATAACAATGGCGACTATGTTGGGTTATAAGTCCACTTTCCAACAGGGACTGATATTCTACACTCTTGTTGGAATCAACAATGCCCCTCCAATTTCTGCCTACAGTTGTGCAAATTCAGTGTTTACTTTCCTTCCAGGTCTGTGTGTTAGCTCTATATGGAGACCTTTATACCTGACTCTTCCTTTATTTATTTATTTATTTAATGTTGCTGGTCTGGTTCAGACTGTTAGTGGACTAATAAATGACTCCACAAGAAATTGGCTAAATTGAAAAGAAGCTAGTTGCCACCCTCTATAAATATACAAAACTGAATAGAGAGAATTTTTGCCTCATGATGATGCGTTTGCTTGCAGGAATGTTAACAATAACAGACTTCATCATCATTCTGCACAGATACTACAAGTCTCCACTGGTAATCACACAATTTTTTTGTTTAAGTTCTCTTTCATTTATCATACACCTTTTAAAAAGTCTTTGTGTGTAATGTGTGCTTCAGGTTCAAATATACGAGCTGGAGGAGCATAAAATCGAGACGTGGAGGGGTAAATACTTTCTGTAGTCTGATAATTAATTGTTATTCATAGAAAACAGGAAAGTTATTGTCATATCCATGCATGCAAAGGCCTGCTAATGGTTTAGAAAATGTATATTTAAAGGTTTGCATATACTTCATATATACACTCACATTACCAATAGCTGCCCAGAGAATGCAGTACCCTATGATGTTGCCTGACAATACTGGGCATCTGATGTACCCTGACCTACTCCGCTAGTTCTGATTGGTCGGTTTGATGGCATTTTCTGTACTAGCATCTTCACCATGAATTGTGAAAAATGCCAAGATCAATTGCTAAAATCTACAACAGAAAATGAAAACATGAGCATTTCAAAATATTACACCCTGCTATCTCTGTGGCTCAAAGGGTTGGCGTGTTTGGCTGTCAATCAAAAGGCTGGGGTTCAAGCCCACACTGGGATATATAAGCTTATCTACTAGACTTATATGTTTAAGTCTGTGCACCTTAATTTGTTGTTGTACCGGAGTATTCCCCTGTATCCATATAGACAAGACCATTGGTTCGACAAGGCAGAAGTATAAATTGGCCTCTAGTTATGAGCATGTGCAATATTGACCTGATATTTGTTTTTGGTGAGCTTTGGCACATCTGACTTGATTTCTGTCTTTCCCGACAGAGCTTTACTTGCAAGAAACATTTAAACCCTTAGTCAGCATATCTCCAGATGCAAGGTGAGGCACTGGCTCATATTTTTTTTTTACAATTTCATTAGCTTAAAGATGCTCTACTTTCAAAACTCTTCTAAATATGATGTATATTCCAATAGTCTTGAGTGTTCATAGTCAATCCTTTGTTTGGAATAAGATCATTCTGTTCCAGGGTTCTAAGGTTTATTTTTGCTTGCAATACAACACAGTGTAACTTTAGTTTTAAGCGAGTGTTGCAAAGAACACCAGGTCAAAATAGTCCCAGACATAAATCCTTTCTTTTAGGGCAGGGGTGTCACTCATTTTCACTGAGGGCCACATTAGCATAATGGCTGTCCTCAAAGGGCCAGATGTAACTTATAAATGTAACTACTCCTTAATATTAAATAACTCATTATTTATAACTTATTCAAGTGACTATTCAGTTGCATAGAAACAATTGCATGCTTGTTGTTCTAATATAAATCCTTTTTATTTTTGTCAGCTTATGAAAACCCACATAACTCCATTAATGTAGGATCAAACTGTCCAAGTGAATAAAGAAAAATAGCATTTTTGTCATTTGTTTAGCAAAAAAAACCCTCACAGACTGAAGTCGATGCATATCGATCATCATCTTTTATCATCAGGCTCAAGAAACAGATCACAGATAAACTATTAGCTCCGCCCATTTCACATCTTGATCTTACGTTCAATGTGTGAGAAACGGCAGCTCTGCAGTTTCACTCATGAGTATAGATGTGGAAACACCGTTGCGGCTACCTTAGCCATTGTGGGAAATGTAGTTTTTTTTGGTGGGAAAAATGTTTTTATTTTCTTATTTTTAGACACTCAAAACTCTTAAGGTCTCGCGTTTGACATATGTGTTTTAGGTGATGCAGACCGCTTCAATAACTGTATTATTGAAACTTAATAGACACAGTTAATTCAGAGTCCTGTTGATCATGCTGCGTAAAAGTTTATATAGGCTACCTGATCTCCTGCAAGTTCCTGATCAGAAGAGGACGTTGCTTTGAGGGACAGGCTCAACATCCAATCAGATGTGTGTCAGAATTTCAAGAGTGACAGCGTTGGCAGCCAATGAGTGACTAGGATTTTGTACATTGCTGTACACTCTTTAGTGTTTAACAATTCAAACAATTGTTACATTTTAACAGTCCTACTGGTCTTGGATTCCACCATCTAAATGTTATAAGTGCCATCACCAAATTTAGAGAACAGTTTAATAAAAGGGTAAATTAGAACTCTGTGCATTTAGACTGGGTGTTTCTATACTTTATTTTTTGTATATATGGTAGTTATAAGCATTTTTAGCATTTTTTTTTTTTTGGTTGAAAAGTTGTATTTTTCTTCATTACTCTCTACAGTATATTCGATGCCGTTTACTCGCTCATCAAAAATAAGATTCATCGTTTGCCAGTGATCGATCCAATCACAGGAAACGCCCTTTACATCCTCACACACAAAAGGATCCTCAAGTTCCTGCAGCTCTTTGTGAGTCTATCGTTCTCTAAATATAGCATTCACTATATTTATTAATAATGCATTCTCCACTATGTTGTTCTTGCAGGTTTGTGAGATGCCCAAAGCAGCCTTCATGAAGCAGAGTCTGGAGGAGCTGGGCATTGGCACCTATAGCAACATAGCCTTCATTCACCCTGATACACCTATCATTAAAGCCTTGGCCATGTTCGTGGAGAGGAGGGTTTCTGCGCTGCCTGTGGTCAACATTACTGGTAACTTTACTATGCACTGATGCCCAATGGTCCGTCTGAAATGGGTCTTTTTTTATTTTATTATTATTTTTTTTATCAAGTTCTGATTTTAAAACGGCTTCTTTTTTCCTGCAGGAAAAGTTGTGGATATTTACTCCAAATTTGATGTCATTGTGAGTTTTCAGCCTATTACATCATATGAGCTACTAAGAACTGTTATCGGTTAAAATGTTGTGAAAGTGTGGTTTGCATGTATTTATTAGCACGCATGTATTAATTAACATGTGTTTTTACTTTACTGTAATTGTTGAAAATGCTGCAGAAATATGAAAAATAGTGATTATTTCTAATGCAAATTCAGTTCTAATTTAGTAGTCTGTTTCATATTCTAATTCTGATTTCAAGCTGATTATCTCTGCCAAAAACCTTATGGGACCCATTGGGTTCAGGCTTCATTTCTATCTTTCTTCCTAGACTCTGGTCTTTACTTTACTTTGTGCATTAAAAGAGTATCTTTCAGTAAAATTTGTGCAAGAGACATAAAAATCGCTGCTATGAACATGAAACTGGTAGAACGGGGCATGAGACATGAAATCGGAAGTCAGATTAAGAGATGGTCAATTATAGGATTGTTTTTTTTTTTGTTTTTTTTTTTTATGTCTGCCAAATTCTATAAGGCTCGGGTCAGGTTGAGCTTTTAAGACCCAAGTACAACTCTATTCTTATTGGCTGATTTGAAAATGAATTGGAATTTTGACTGGAAGAATTTATTTCTAGTGAGCGTTTTGTGAAAAAAAATCACATATAAAGTTAAGTAGTGATGCATATTTATTGTTTGCATTTATTGTTTCTTTCACTTGGCCACAACAGCATGGATGCAGAGCTTGAATTCAAACTTTTATCCAACATGTCCAGGAAGACAACAAGCTGAAACCCTTCATTGTACTGTTTAATTTTACCAGTGTTTCCAACTCCTCAGTAAGGAAATTTGCTATTGGCCAGCCCAAAAGTTGCTAAGTCACTAGAGGAAGTAGTCACCTCATTTGCTCGTGTGACATTAGTCTAAATCGTTTTGAAATTCGTCAAAGAACAGAAGTATTATTGAGCATTATAAAACAAACATATAATAATAATAAACACAATGGGGATGGGATGAAGTAAATAACATGAAAGTAACTTAAATTTAAGCTTTTTGATTTTAAAACTAGAAGCGTCTTCAGACAGTTTCCGATATTAACAAATAAAAAAAGAACATTTACAAAGCATCAGACAGAACAAACAAACCACTGAAAAGGTCCTAAAAAAGGTTAAGTCGGCAACAGGGATTGACAATTTAAACTTTTTTGAAAAACACATTTTTTATTTGACCACAAAACGATATTGGATGCAGACCAGAAACCTCTTATATCTTTTTGAATTTCTGTATACAAGTTAAAAAGCACATATGCTAATTGCAGGCATCAATGAGCCTTTTCAATTTGTTTTTTCTGATTAAAAATAACTGTAAAGGTTTATGAATTGAAATGCATGATCAATTTCAATTATTCAAATAAACAGAACAGGGTCTCGTCGCCTCATATTTGACTTGCGGCTATAATTTATCCATTACTGACACAAAACCATTTTCCACAGCACAAACTAGTGCTCTTGAGGGGAGCTTTTCCAATATTTTAGGATGGTGCTCAGTTGTGTTCTTTGTTTAGAACCTGGCCGCTGAAAAAACATACAATAACCTGGACATCAGCGTGACCCAGGCTCTGCTACATCGCTCGCAGTACTTTGAGGGTGTTCTGAAGTGTTACCGTCATGAGACTCTGGGGACCATCGTAGACAGAATTGTCAAAGCTGAGGTAAGGATGGGTCTGTTCTCACTCAACAAACGCCTGGTTAGGACCACCAGTTGTTTTGTGTAGAATGACATGTGTCTATCTCTTAGGTTCACAGGCTGGTAGTGGTGGACGAGAATTCCAGCATTGAGGGCATCATCTCTCTTTCTGACATCCTTCAGGCCCTGGTCCTCACCCCTGCAGGTATAGATGCTCAGAATTCCTAACCCAAGCCTCCATTTCACTTTCCTTCTCCCTCTCCACTCTTCTCCTGGACTCATCCTCCTCTCCCTTGGACATCTATCCCTCAAGTCCCCCTCTCTGACCCCCTGAATACAGGTACAGTCCCACAGCATGCTGCCTTTGAGAAATCGTAATGCTATCTGAACAGTCACAGGCAGGTCGTGAGATATTTGGCATGCTAAATATCTGTAGTTGTCGGCAACCCAGAATCTTTACTGGAAATAACGTCTGCGATTACCTGCAGACAATGAGAGAGCAACATCCAGGACAACAGGAAGTTTGGGAGAAGTAACAAAAGACATCAACAATGGTTTTTTTCTATTAAAAAAGGGCTTTTTCTCTGTCTATTTGGACAAAAAAACAACAACTTGTGCACTCCATTTTTGATAATAATGGTCTAGTGCAGGGGTGCTCATTTGTCGATCACGATCAGCTACTGGTCGATCGCGGTGTGAAATTGAAACAATATCAGCCGATCATCCATCCCGTCACAGTTCAGTAAAGTTAGCTGCAGTTTCACGGATTCTGTTTTCTCTGCTCAATAGCTCGAGACCAGAATGTTCTTAGTAAACAAATAATACCTATTTTTAATCTGTGTTATGTAGCGGACGAACTACAAAACGTTTTTTATCAAAACAAGTTTCCCTCGGCATTCGCAGAAACACATTACCGTCTATGAACAACCCGCTGACATGGAATCGCTTAGGGACCCTCTGCAAATTACCAAATCCAAAATATGTTTTACCCAGAATATGCTTCATAACTTCATTCTCATAACTTCATAACTTCATTCAATTCAGGTGAAAACCCCTATTTCTGATCTTTCCTGAAGCATGAATTCAGCACCGACTGAATGCTGCCCTACACAGTAGTGCAGTGTGAAAGGATCTGTGACACGACTACTCTGAAAACCGTTCAGTCCAAACTCTGCTTTACTTTGTTCTACTCAGAACACTGCCCTGACATGCTT